TTGATTATATGCTACCTCTTGAAACGGTTGACAATGTATATTCCTTCCATCTTCTTTTGATGCTTTCTGCATCATTCAATATTTTGACCACAGAATACTTCAGTATTATAGTAGAGGCTTGAATGATTTTTTAAAGTTTTTTAAGCTTGTGTGTTCTTCTCATTTCATTTTCTAACTCCAGATCTTTGGACATGTCCTTATAATACTTGACTTTGTCTTCTCAAGCTGCCCTTTGAAATTTTTCCTTCAGCTCTTTTACCTCCTCATATCTTCCCTTTGCTTTAGCATCGCGATGCTGAAAAGCAAGTAACAGTTTCTTCTGGCATCCTTTTTGTTCTTTTCTTTCTTGTCTTCTTTATGACCTTTTGTTTTCTTTCTGTATGGTGTTCTTGATGTCGTCTCACAACTTGTCTTGTCTTTAATCAGTAGTCTCTAAATGTATCTAATGTGTACTTGAGGTGTTCTCTAAATTCAGATGGGATATGTTCAAGGTCATATTTTACCACTCATGGGTTTGTGTTAAATTTCTTCAGCTTCAGCCAGAACTTTCATATGAGCAACTGATGGTTTGTTTCACAGTCTGCCCCCAGAATTGTTTTGGCTGATTATATTGAACTTTTCCACTGTCCTTTGCCACATATGTAGTCAATCTGGTTTCTGTGTATTATAGCTGGTGAGATCCATATGCATAGCCATCTTTTTATGTTGCTTAAAAAAAGGAATTTACAATGAATAAGTCATTGCTCTTACAAAATTCTATCATGTGATCTCTAGCATCATTTCTATCACCAAGTACATATTTTCCAATTACTAATAATTTCTTGTTGTTTACAACTGTCACATTACAACCACCGGTAATTATCAAAACATCTTGATTGTGTGTTTGATCAATTTCAGACTGAAGAAGATGGTAGCAATCTTCAATTTCATTGTTTCTGTCTATAGTGGTTGGTAAGTAAATTCGAATAATAGTGGTATTAAGTGGTCTTTCTTGTGGACTTTTGGATGTTATCTTACTACAGACAGTGTTATGCTTTAAGACAGATACTGAAAAGTTGTTTTTGATGATGAATATGACACCATTCCTCTTTAATTTGTCATTTCTTGCATAGTAAAATATGATTGTCAAATTCAAAATGGCCACATCAGTCCATTTCAGCTCACTATATGCCTGGGATATAGATCTTTATGTGTTCCATTTTATTTTTGGCAACCTACAATATTCCCAGATTTATACTTTGTACACTCCATGTTCCTTTTATTGATGGATGTTTGCAGATGTTTTCCTAGTTTGGAATTGTGTCCCATCAGCAATGAAGGTTCCCATAGCTTTACTCCATTCACATTGTCATGGGTCAACTCTTCATCAGTCTTATTTTGAGTGCTTTCCAACATGAGTGACTCATCTTCTGGTAATATATCTGACACTGTTTTTTCTGCTTTTTCAGTAGCTTAAACATTCTAAAGTAGTCTACCTCTCCTTATTCCTACTATGTCTTATATTGGCAGTTCAGCTGAAATCTGTCCACTGCAAGTACTTAAAATACCAGAGGACTAGTGTCCCACATCACAGCAACACAAAATCCACCACAATATGACAAACCGACAAACAGGTAGTGGAAAGGATGGTCTATGTGGACATAAA